AGGAGACAGCCAGCTCAGGACGGGTGGGCCTACCTCTCCCTCATTCCCCAGGGTTGGCGCTCTGAGGCCCTGTGGCCTTTTCAGCCTCAGTTTGCCCTCCTACAAAATGAAGATGTCCCTGCCCTTCCCTCATTGCAGGGTGGCTGGAAGGGCCCTCCCTGCCTAACTGGCAGATGGACGGTTTTGCTTTGACTTTTTTTCCTTGTGTTTATCTGTATCCTTGGGTTTTTCTACAGATGTGGGGTGTGCCTTTTGCTAGGTGTGGCTGCCACTGATACCTTTGCGTCTCTGGGGCAGAGGTCCTCTAGGACTGGCTGCCTCGGTGGGAGGGGACTCCTGGGGCTGCCCAAGTGGGAGGCCTTTATGCCTCCCAGCCCCAAGCGGGGAGAGAGGGCTCCCAGCTGATTACCAGAAAGACCTGGCCCCTTCTAGAGAACCCTGGCCTAGGGGTCTGGTGTTGGCAGACACAGTGCCTAGCTGCAGCTTCTGGGCAGTGAGTTTTGCTTGGACACAGGAACTTTCACTTTTGTTTCTTTTTACTTCCCACATTCTGGGAGTGCAGTGACCTAGTTTTTAGCAGCCTTATATGTCTCTCTCTGCTGAAGAGACGGGAGCCTACAGCACCATGGAATCCGGTACAAACTGACACTAGCACTCAGGCTACTTTAAACTGACTTCCCCTTAGCTAGCCACCCACTCCCCTATCTTCCTCTCCTCCTCAGAGGCCCAGGAGACACTTGGTCCTTTAGGATGGGCCCGGCCAACCCTGCCACTCAGATGGGGACCCTCAGTCACCTTGGTGGTGTCACCCATATGTGCCCTTGCCTGCATACTCACTCATTCTGATCAGTGTCTCCTGAGAGAAGCTTGGGAAACCTCTGCAAGTCTTGGACCAGTTGTTCATTTTGTCTCCTCTCACTCCCACCCCAGTGGGACCTTATGGGATCTCAGGATTGGAAGGGACTTGAAGATCCTCTGACCCAGGGCCCAAGTCCCTCCAAGAGGGGCTCACCTGCTTGAATGCCTTCAGTGGTAGAGAGCTCCTACCTTGTGATGTAGCTACTTTCAGTCATCAGAAAGCTCTGATTAGGAAAGGTCTTTCTTAGGCTGAGCTGAAATCTGTCATCCTGCCCTTTCTACCCGCTGGCCCCAGCCTTTCCCTGTGGGGCCCCAGAATTCATCAGGGGCCTCTACCATGTCTTCCAGAGGCTGATCTTCTCCAGGCTGAACATCTTCCATCCTTGTACCCATTCTTCATTAGACCCCACTTCCAGCCTCAACACACCTCAAATCACCACTGCCTCTTGCACAAAGCAGGGACTGGGCTGGGAAAGCAGCCTATGGCCCAAGAACCCATGGGTTCCTGGTGGCCATGCTACCCGGCTGACTCTTCTTAAACTGTGGTCAACAAGACCCCCATCTGGGACCCATGAGTTGCCATGGTTCTTGCCATTTCCCTGTGAGATATTCTTTAAAAGCCTCTCTGACTCCTTAACCCAAATACATTAACATGCTAACCCTGAAATCTTTTTATCATGGTAAAACGTATAACATAAAATGTATCATCTTAACCATTTTTAAGTGTATAGTTCTGTAGTGTTAAGTATATTTACATTGTTATGCAACAGAGCTCCAGAACTTTTTTCTGTTGCAAAACAGAAACTCTATACATGTTAAACACTTCTGCCTTTTCTCCTCTCTGCTGTAGACCTGAAATCTTTGTTTTTCCTCTTGGCAAGAGCTTGGCATGCCTGTTGCCAGGAAGTCCTGATACTTCAGGTTGTAGCTCCGCCCTCTGCCTTAATGCCTGTCCCCATGATCAGTTTCCACCTCCATGCCAGTGTCATCGCTTTGTCTCCCCATCTCTGCCTGTCAACCAAAACCTCACAAATCTTGGGGTTTTCAAGAGCTGCCATCATCCCTGCGCTGCCCACATTACTGTGACTGGACCTCACTGGACAGCCTCACTGAACCCGAGTTCTACAGCTTGGTCCACATGCTCTTTAAGAGTCCACTTCCTGTTTATCAGAAGGCCCTTGGACAGCTCCACGATGCAAGTGTGACCTGCATGTATCTTCACCTCCTGGGTCTTTAGCTCCTGAATCTGCAGCCCCCTACTCCCCTGAAGGCAAGCCCTGGGCCTTCTTTCCCTCATGTCCTCTCAGAAATGTCATGGGATTTTACTTGGCCCAGGCGACAAGGGAGATCTGGCTATGAGGAAAGGAACGAGGACTCCCTGTTGCATCATTTCCTCAGCCTTGGGTGAAAGGCAGCAGAGTAGAAGAAAGGCACTTGTGAATGTGACAAAGAGCGTGGCACTTCCCTTATGGTTCACACCCTTCCTGCCACTACCCACAGCCAGTCTTTGAGGGACAGGCCTCTGACCTGATGGGACCGATTTAGCATAAGGGCCCTCTGTCGCCCTCACTCAGAACCCATCCAGCTCACCCCCATTTCTACAGAAGGGAACTCCCAGGTTCCTGAGTATGGTGCTCAGTGTCTTCATCATAGTCTGGCTGGTTAGCTCCTGTTCAGACATTTTTGGGGCCTTATATCAGGAGTTGCCTCCTTCCTGATCCCACGTTAGGTTAATCTCCAAGTTCCTTTTGCACCTGTGCTTACCTGCATCTTGGCACCTATCACATGGCCAGTGTCTGCTTACAAGGCTGTTTCCCTTCTGTATGTAAGCTCTTTGAGGGCAGCACATGGCTGTCTTATCTCTGGACCCTTAGCACACAATGTGGGACATGGCACAGAAGCACTCAGAGCAGATGAACAGATGAATAGAGATAGATGGATGGGTCTTGGATGAATGGTATGGATAAATGATGCTGGATGGATGGGTAATGTTAGATGGATGGCAATGTTGCATGGATAGATGTATGGAAGATATTAGATGGATGGGTGGATGGAGGGAGGGAGGATGTTGGATGGGTGGATGATGTTGTATGACTGGTGGATGATAGATGAATGGAAGATATTGGATGAATGGATGGATGCAGAATGTTAGATGGATGGATGGGGATCATTTCAGATCCAAATTGGTGTGGTTTCTGTTCACTATTGATCTTGCTTGCTTTTGGCTTCACCCACTTATTTTCTCCCTACCCACAGCCTCCTTGACTTTGCCCTTTCTGAGATCATGACCTAATGGAGCATGGGCTTCACTTCTTCCCCAACTGCAGCCCTGGGCCTGCTAATCACATCACTCATCCTCCCACCACCTCCACTTTCTTTGTGACACTCTTCTCCTATTCTGTGTCTTAATCCATTTTCTGCTGCTATAGAAGACCACCACAGACTGGGTAATTTATGAAAACAAACAAAAAAAGTTTATTTGGCTCACAGTTCTGGAGGCTGGGAAGTCCAAGAGCATGGCATTGGCATCTGGCAAGGCCCTTGAGCTGCATTATCCCATGAAAGGGCAGAAGGACAAGTAAACTCAGACAGGGAGAAGATCAGGCCAAACTCATTCTTTTATCAGGAGCCCAGTCCTGTGATAATGCCCTCTAATCACCTCTTAAAGATCTCACTTCTCAACACTGTTATATTGACAATTAAATTTTAGCATGAGTTTTGGAGGGGACATTAAAACCAGCATTCTATCCCTGGCTCCCCAAAACTTATGTCCTTCCCACATACAAAATACATTCATTCCATCCCAATAGCCCCAAGTTTTAACTGGTTCCAGCACCAACTCAAAGTCCAAAGTCTCATCTAAATCAGATAAGGGTGAGATTCAAGGCACAATTCACCCTGAGACATACTCCTTCCAGCTTTGAGCCTGTGAAATCAAAACAAGTGATCTACTCCAAAATCCAGTGGTGGGACAGGCGTAGTATAGATATTCTCATTCCAAAAGTGAGAAATAGGAAAGAAGGTAACTGATCCCAAGTAAATCCATAACCCAACAGGGAAAACATTAAATCTTGAGGCTGGAGAATAATCCCCTTTGATTCCATCTCCTGCCTCCTGGGTACACTGCGTGGGAGGTGGGCCCCAGGGCCTCAGGCAGCCCCACCCCCATGGCCTGTGGGGCTCTCCAAGCTTCAGCTCTTAGTAGGCACCTCCTGCTTGCAGCCTTCCCAGGCTGGCGTTGCCTGCTGGTAGCTCCACAGTTCTGGAGTCTTGTAGGTGGCTGCATTTCTACAGCTCCACTAGACACTGTCCTAGTGGGGACTCTGTGGTGGCTCTGCCCTGCAGTAGGTTTCTACGTGGGTCCCCAGCTTATCTGATTGGATGGTGCCACCCACATTGACGGTGGATCTTCCCCACTCAAACTCATACACCAGTTTCCTGTGGAAGCACCCTCACAGACGCACCCCAAAATAATGCTTTACCAATTCTCAAGGTATTCCTTAATTCAGTCAAGTTGGCACCTAAAACTCACCTTCACACTCCACTTCCCCAGGGCTGTCCTTCCCTTGTCCTCTTTGTCTGTCCCTCTGTCTCCTTGGCTTCACCCACCAAGCATAGGCGCCCTCCTCCCCAGCCAGGATGCCTCTTTCTGGACTCCCAGCTCTGGCTCAGTCTAGTTCCCACTGCTCTCCCTAGGTCCAGCCTGAGATGCCTGGACTCCTTCAGATATTTTACTTCCGATGTCCTGTTGCTGACTGTCCAAGCCCCCAAATCTCCTCTGTGTTTCTATGCATTCTCTACTCAGCAGCCAGCAGGGTCTTTGAGAAACATACAGAGCTCACTGCCCTGCTCCCTTTAGGTGACTTCTCATTGCTTTGGATAAAGACCCAAATCCCTAACATGACCCATAAGGCCCCATATGATCCACGGGCTTTACATGTGCAGAGATGTGGAGCACGATGGTGGGTAGGGTGAGCAGCATTGAGGAGCACGGCCACTTGGCTGCGGTGCCAGGTGTCAGAGGGAGCAGCACCCTGTGGGTGTGGCCTGAGGTCTGAGCTAGGTGTTGCTTTCAGCATGCCATTATACTTTGGGTGAGTCTTCTCTGCACTGAGCCATTCTCCATTTTGCAATCATTCCAGCTTCCAAACAGTTTCATAATGAGGTCCTGAAGGCCCACAATGAGTACCGGCAGAAGCACGGCGTCCCCCCACTGAAGCTCTGCAAGAAGCTCAACCAGGAGGCTCAACAGTGAGTCCCCTAGCACATCTGGGTGACTCGGGCCCTTCATGTGCCACTGCTGCAGTCACAAAGGGGCCCTGTGGCCAGGAGCGGTGGCTCATGCCTGTAATCCCAACACTTTGAGAGGCTGAGGCAGGTGGATCACCTGAGGTCAGAGTTCAAGACCAGCCTGGCCAAGGTGGTGAAACCCCATGTCTACTAAAAATACAAAAATTAGCCAGGCATGGTGGTGTGCCCCTGTAGCCCCAGCTACTGGGGAGGCTGATGTAGGATAATCGCCTGAACCTGGGAGATGGAGGTTGCAGTGAGCCAAGATCACCCCACTGCACTCTAGCCTGGGCAACAGAGTGAGACAACATCTCAAAAAAAAAAAGAAAAGGCGGGGGGGTCCTGGATGGTTGGGGTGACTGGGTTTTGGGGTCAGATACAACCACACTTGAATAACCACTCTGTTACTCACCCGGGCAGGTCCCTTTGTTCGCCTGAGCCTCAACCTGCTCCTCTGGAATGGGACTGCTGGGAGGCTCAGAAATCATGCAGGAGTGGTGCTCCTCTAGCTCCTCTGTGAGCCCCGGGCAGGGAAGGAAGCTCAGCCACACTAACTTGGGGTGCATACTTTGGGGATTCCCTGAGCTGTGCCTGCTCTGAGGAGGCACTGTGGACTCCACAGGTATTCTGAGGCCCTGGCCAGTACAAGGATCCTCAAGCACAGCCCAGAGTCCAGCCGCGGCCAGTGTGGGGAGAACCTTGCATGGGCATCCTACGATCAGGCAGGTGGGTTGTATTTTCGACTCCCGTCCCCTCCCCTCCCCTCCCCTCCTCCCCTCCCCTCTCCTCTCCTCTCTCTCTCCCCTCTCTCACTCTCTCTCTCTCATTCTCTCTCTCCCCTCCTTTCTTCTCCTCTCCTCTCCTCGGGAGCTGGACGTAGGACCGGGCCTCCTTAAACGCCTCCTGACCCCAGTGCTGTGGTGGTATAGCCACGGGCCAGGAAGGGAAAGGAAAACCAGAGCTCTCTGTATCTGCTCCTAGGCTGACTTCAGTTCACCACAAGGTCCCTGATGGCTGGCTCAGCACCAGGCCTGTGCCGGGTGCCAGGGACACAGAGATGAGTCAGACTGACCAGGCCCCCACTTTCAGAGAAGCTCCCAGGCTGAGGAGTGGGGGTGGGGGAGACAGACCGCTTTTGTACAGAATCTCAGCCTGATTCTATTGGCACCAAAGCATCCTCAGCTACTGAGAAATTTTATTTTCTTCCTGAGAAATTTTACTGTCTTACCGTACTGGTGATACACTGTCAGTAGTGCTGGTGTATTACTTTTGTATGGAGAAAAGCAATAGAGCTTTTTCAATTTTGGAAAAAAATAATGGGCCAGGCACAGTGGCTCACACCTGTAATCCCAGCACTTTGGGAGGCCAAGACGGGTGGATCACGAGGTCAGGAGTTCGAGACCAGCCTAGTCAACATGGTGAAACCCGGTCTCTACTAAAAATACAAAAAATTAGCCAGGTGTGGTGGCATACGCCTGTAATTTCAGCTACTCAGAAGGCTGAGGCATGAGAATCACTTGAATCCAGGAGGTGGGGGTTGCGATGAGCAGAGATCCCGCCATTGCACTCCAGCCTGGGCAACAGAGCAAGACTCCATCTCAGTAATAATAATAATAATAGAAAAGACAGCGTCTCCATGCAAGGTCTCAGTCTGGAAAGATCCCACCATGCTGCCCAGACATTCTTGAGCTTCCTGGCCCTGACAGCCCTGATGTGGCTTTTTAGGAAGAATATTGGATCCCTAACTGGATCTCTGAAGCTTTCTCCAAACGCCAGTGAAAGAATGACTCACTCCCTTCCTGGCCTCACATTCCTGGGAGTTCCCCTGAGTCCTCTTGGTTTCCCCAGCACAGCCTGAGCCAGGGCTCCTGTGTAGCATGGTCCTTAGTACCCCTACTGGGAGGCATGTGTGAGTTCCTAGGGAGTTCCCTACCCCACCCCCCAGGCCTCACCCTCAGCCTGCAGGCTCCTTGCCAAGCCTAGGCTGTGGCCCTTGATGGACCCTGGGTGAAGGGCACAGAACAGGAAAGTGGGTATTCAGGAGGCACGGTCCATCCCAACCTCACACGGCCTCCTTCGGGAGCCTCGAGCAGGTCACTGCCTTCTCTGCCCCCAGTTTCCCATCTCTACAGAGAGGGGGTTGGGTAGGTGTTCTCTGAGACAGTGGTTCCCTACTCTGCCCGCACATCAGCATCCTTTGTGGAGCTTTAAAAAAAATGCCAGGCTGGGTGCGGTAGTTCATGCCTGTAATCCCAGCACTTTGGGAGGCCAAGACGGGCAGATCACCTGAGGTCAGGAATTCAAGACCAACCTGATCAACATGGAGAAACCCTGTCTCTACTAAAAATACAAAATTAGCTGGGTGTGGTAGCACATGCCTGTAATCCCAGCTACTTGGGAGGCTGGGGTGGGAGAATCGCTTGAATCCGGGAGGCAGAGGTTGCGGTAAGCTGAGATCACACCATTGCACTCCAGCCTGGGCAACAAGAGCAAAACTCTGTCTCAAAAAAAAAGAAAGAAACCAGTGCCTAAGTCTCACCTCCAGAGATAGACACAGTTGGTCTGAGGAAGGACAAAGGCATTAGTATTTGTTAAACGCTCTCCAGGTGAGGCTGATGTGTGGAACGTGGATCAGCAGTAGCATCTGGGAGCAGAAATGCAGAATCCTAGGTTCCTCCTTGGACCTACTGAATCAGAATCTGCCCTTTAACAAGATTATTGCACACATTTGAGACTGACTGCTCTAAGGTCCCGGCTCCTAGCTCTGGCCCGGAGAGCGGCAGCTCCCAGAGAAACAGCTGCTCACATCACTGCCTGTGGGGACAGTGGATGCCCCAGGTGAGGGCCCTCCTGCCCACAGTGGGGATCCTTGGCTTATCAGCACAATCATCTTTCCAACTATGGATGTTTCAAGAGCCACACATGGGGTGAGATGACAATATAGTCTAGAAATTCAGAGCATCATCAGAAGGCCCTTGAAGTACATTGCATTCAACCTTTTCATTGTACAGAGGCCCAGAGAGGGAAGGCTTTGCCCAGGATTACACAGCAAGTCAGTGTGTGTGTGGGTGGGGGGGACAGGTGCAGTTTCCCTGACCCTAGGCTAGTGCTGTTCCCCGCCCCCTAGAAGGCCCACTCTTCAGCCTGGCCGTGCTCATGGGCAGGAGTCCCTGGGAGTCTGCAAAGCAGCATCGAGGATGTGTCAGCTCACTGGGGCTTTCTGAGATGTCTAATTGCTGGATAGGGGTTTTGGGATTGATGGGAAAAGATGCAGGGAATAGGGAGTGGGTGGATTTTGTGGCTGAGTTTTAGAACAATGTCATTTCTACACAGGAAAGGAGGTGGCTGATAGATGGTACAGTGAAATCAAGAACTATAACTTCCAGCAGCCTGGCTTCACCTCGGGGACTGGTGAGTGTCAGGGTCTCTCCAGTGGCCTGGCCCTGGGCAGCAATGCTGGTTGGGTGTCTGACTTCAGAGAGAAACCTGCCCTCTAAAAAATTAATGCTTTCCATATTTCGCTGGCTTGACCTTGACCAGAAACCAAAGCTCTCCTTTCCCCATTACATCCCCAGTTTCTCCCTGCTATGTGCTCTGTTCCATCTGAGAGCACCCAGATGCTGAATCCTGCCCCACCAGCTCAGAGCTCTTCCCATTCCTGGAGTGTGTCATAGGAGACCGGATTTCCAAAGCTGTTTGGAGTTTAATTCCTGAACAGCTTCATTCCCTATCAGGAGCTTCATTCCTGAACTGGTCACCCTGCATCTAGTCTTGTTTCCTGCAATCCATCCTGCTCTCCAGCAACCTCAATACTTCTAAAATTGTCTCTGCCTCTAGTGCTCTCCCGATTCAACTGCTTTGGCTCTCTCGGTCCATCAGGAGAAGGCTCAAGCTACTGGCACTCCTCCCTCTGCACACCACACCCCTCCCCCCACCACACCCCTCCCCACACACACCACACCCCTCCCCCACACTTTCCACCCTGGCTTTCTCCCTTCCCCTTTCTGCTGTAGTTTGCAGTTCAGGAGCTTGGGGTGCGGAGAAGCTGGATCTAGTCTCAGCTCTGGCACCCTCTGTTGTGTGGACTTGGGTCAATTCCCATCCTTCCCTCCTCCCAGGGGAGAGGGAGAAGGTAGCTTCTATGGGATATGCTGAGAGCTGGTGATTCAAGTGTAGGGAGGAGCCTTCCATGGGTCCATGCTCCCTTCTCATAGGCCTCCCCTGACGAAGCTCTGGGCAGCTGCCCTCTGCCCTGGGGTCCCTCTGGGCAGCCACTCTGTGCCCCAGGTTCCTGCTGCCCTTTGCTGGCCTCACCAGGCTCCTTGTCTTTCCTCAAAACTGACTCAGAGCCGCCTGGGGCTCAGGATGGTGTTAGAAGGGGGCGGGAGTTTCTCTGACCAGAAGGCACCAGGAAAACAGAAAAAGGGACTCTCTGCCCACCTCGTTCCTCCTACCCTACCTGTCCCACCCACAAGTAGAGCCTTGTGGCCTTATACCATCTAGAGGTGTATTCTAGAAGCAGGAAGTGACAGGTTCTCAGCCCCAGTCACCATTTCCTGTGGTTTGCTGCCCGCCCTTCTGGGTGGGGTTTCTGCAACCATGTTGCGTTGTGTTGTGTTGTTCGTGGGACTCTGGGGCAGAGACAGAAGCATCTGCTGAGGCATTCCTCCCCTCAGTTAACCCCTGCAGGACTCCAGGCCTGGCTGGCAGGGCTTTGAGTGTGAATAGGTGATTCTGGGGCAAGGATACCTAAGGGTGTGGGGAGGGAGCAGTAATAACCTCCTGCTATTGATGAAGGATGTGCAGGCAGGACCTTATCATCTTTTAATAGAGATCGGTGTCCAGAAGACTTCTCATTCAAAGCTTCTGGATTTGTTTTTCCCACAAGCAAGATTCTTGAGCAATTGGACATGTGTCCGAGCAAGTTATTAACTAACACTGTGCGTGTGCATGTGTGTGTGCAGTGTTAGAAAGTGTCTCCACTGCCACGTAAGCCTCAGTACACCATTCGAAAGTAGGGTTTGGCCAGGCTCAGTAGCTCACACCTGTAATCCCAACACTTTGGGAAGCCAAGGCAGGCAGATCACTTGAGGTCAAGAGTTCAAGACAGGCCTGGCCAACATGGTGAAACCTTGTCTCTAGTAAAAAAAAATAAAAATAAAAAATTAGCCAGATGTTGTGGCAGGTGTCTGTAATCCCAGCTACTTGGGAGGCTGAGGTAGGAGAATCGCTTGAACCTGGGAGGCAGAGGTTGCTGTGAGCCAAGATCACCCACTCTAGCCTCAGTGACAAGAGCGAGACTCTATCTCAAAAAAAAAAAAAAAAAAAGGAGAGCTTTATTATACCCATTTTGGAGAGGAAGAAACTGAGGCCTAGAAAAGGGAAGCAGTCTTTCTCACGCCTTCTGTCCCTGATCTGATGCTTTTTCCACCACCCCTGCACCAAGGCAGGAATCTTACAAGAGTCAGAACCCAGCTGCCATGATCACTGACTACTTGTTTCACCCATTGCCCTACACCTCCCACCCCTAAAGAGGAAAATCCCAGAGCAACCAGCCCCTGTGCTGACTCAGGTACCAATAGGCAGTGCCTGGGGACAGATGGAGCCTGAGCCTAAGACAGGAGTGAGACTTTGGGTGGTGTCACAATGGGGGCTTGCAAGATCCTTAAAGATCTTCACGCCCATCCTGGCTCAGCCTCCCCCAGAGCCTGTCTGCAACTTCTTGCTGCATCTCTGTTCATGGATTCCCTGACCTGAATCCCTGCTGTAGGTGAAAGAGTCTTTGAAATACCCTTTGGCCAGATGCAGTGATTCACACTTGTAATCCTAGCACTTTGGGAGGCCAAGGCAGGCGGATCACCTGAGGTCAGAAGTTCAAGATCAGCCTGGCCAACATGGTGAAACCCCATCTCTACTAAAAATAGAAAAATTAGCCAGGTGTGGTGATACGTGCCTGTAATCCCAGCTACTCGGGAAGCTGAGACATGAGAATTGCTTGAACTCTGGAGGTAGAGGTTGCAGTAAGCCAAGATCCTGCCACTGCACTGCAGTCTGGGTGACAGAGTGAGACAGTCTCCCCCACTAAAAAAGAAAGACATACCCTATACTCCATCCCCACCTCCAGCCCCACCCAGGCGAGCATCTTGTGATGAAGGATGCTGGTCTCTACTGTGTGTTAAGTAAAGAGAAATAATGTCTTATAATTACTTTGATATAATCTGTTTAAATGAGTAGGTTTATTTTATTTGTTTATTCTGAATGAATTAGATAGATAGTTTTTTTTTTTTTTTTTTTTTTAGATGGAGTCTCACTCCATTGCCCAAGGTGGAGTGCAGTGGCACAGTCTCGGCCCACTGCAACCTCCATCTCCCAGGTTCAAGTGATTCTCCCACCTCGGCCTCCTGATGAATATTTTTATATGATATGAACAGTTAGAACCATCAAAGGTGAAAAGTTTTCTTCCAGCCCTGACCCCTACCTAGCACTTTCCCTCCCAAGAGACAACCAGAGATACCAGTTTCCTGTGAATCATTCCGGAGTTATCCTGTGCTTATGCCAGCTTGTGTGTATAAATGTTCTCTTTTCCCTTTTCCACACTCTGGTGTTAAGAGTATGTGATCTGCTTTATGCCTGTCAGAAATTGTGCCATATCATACAAAAAGTGCTCACTCATTCTTTCCTACCTTTGTAAATTATTCCTATGTGAGGATATACTGTGACATATTTAGTGTTTTTCAAAGATATAGTCTAAGAAGTTTGATTCATAGCAGGAAAGAGGATGTCATCCCTTGAGGAAAAAGAAAAAGGAACCTTCATTAGATTAGAGTTAGACACCAGTGTGTATTTGATGGTTGCTAAGGAAGTTGTGTCATTTAATTAAGCTCTGAATACCCATAGCTTAATTCCCTCTGTGCAGACAGAAACCTCCCTATCAAGAGGAAAGATTGCTTAGCCTCATCTGTTTGGAAAAGGCTGCCACAGGCACTCATGCTGCTGATGTGCACTTTGTGTCTAACTATTTTCTTGGCAACCAGTGGATAAATGGCAGCTTCTTCCTTTTCTGGGAGACAGAGAGAGTGGGAGTGTCAGTGGCCCAAGCATGCGATATCCTGAGAGAGCAGGCTAGTGTGAGAAAGGACTTGAGCCTTTGGATACAGCCTACAGAAGTAGGGACACCTGGCAACGCTGCAGAGAGCCTGGAGCTGTGACCCAAACATATTAAGAACCAAGGGCGAGGCCAGGCATGGTGGTTCACGCCTGTTATCCCAGCACTTTGGGAGGTCGAGGTGGGTGGATCACGATGTCAGGAGTTCAACGCCCGCCTGGACAAGATGATGAAACCCGTCTTTACTAAAATACAAAAATTAGCTGGGCACAGTGGCAGGTGCCTTTAATCCCCACTACCTAGGAGGCTGAGGCAGGAGAATCACTTGAACCCCGGAGGCTGAGGTCGCAGTGAGCCAAGATCACGCCACTGCACTCCAGCGTGGGTGGCAGGGTGAGACTCTGTCTCAAAAAAAAAAAAAAAAACCAAGGGCAAATAGGCAAGCAGTCTTTCTCTTCTTTTCTGGGTGGAAACCAGAGCTTTTTAAACAGCAGTTAATACAAGATTAAAGATAATTAACAAATATGCATAATTGTGCTTAGGGTTTGTTTTCTTTTCATTCTTGCTTCAATTATATCAACTATGTAGATTTGTGTTTATATTTGATTATTTTCATAAACAATTTAGTGACTTGCAGTCCTCTGTGAATGTAGACAAAAAAATAAATTATAGCTAAGTTTTACAATGTTTTAAATGGCTGGGCATAGTGGTTCACACCTGTAATCCTAGCACTTTGGGAGGTCAAGGCGGGTGGATCACTTGAGGTCAGGAGTTCGAGACCAGCCTGACCAACATGGGAAAACCCCATTTCTACTAAAAATACCAAAATTAGTCAAGCATGGTGGCGTACACCTGTAATCCCAGCTACTCGGAAGGCTGAGGTAGAAGAATCGCTCGAACCCAGGAGTTGGAGGTTGCAGTGAGACAAGATCGTGCCACTCCAGCCTGGGCAACAGAGCAAGACTCTGTCTCAAATAAATAAATAAATGGAGTTTAACTATAGGGGAAAAAATAGAATTTAATCCACAAACATTTATTTCAGTCCTTACCATACATAGGATGCAATGGGAAGCACCGATTTTGTCTCTTTCTTTTTTGTCCACTTTCTTTTTAAATTTTTTAGTAAAATAGGCTGGGTGTGGTAGCTTATGCCTGTAACCACAGCACTTTGGGAGGCCAAGGCAGGAGGATCCCTTCAGTCCAGGAGCTCAAGACCAGCTTGGGCAACATGGCAAGACCCCGTCTCTACAAAAAATTTAAAAACTAGGCTGGGCACAGTGGCTCATGCCTGTAATCCCAGAACTTT